ATAGTTATTAATAGTTTCAAAAGATAAAAAATTTAAATATAAATTGAATTATTCACCTAAAATCATATTCATAATTTTGCCAATAAAAGTCATACATTAACAAAACAAAAGAAAAATATTTTAATGTTAATTAAAGATATTATATTTATTTTACTTAGTTAAAAATTTAAGTTTAATTAGTTATATAAATAGGTATATTTACACATAAGCAAACGAAATTGAACAATTGACTTATTTTTCTTAAAGTATTCAATGTTTTATGTAAATTTTGTATTATAATATTTAATTTAAATAGATGTATAATTTCAATTAACTGAATTTTCATACAAGTATTTGTATTTATGTAATGTAAATATTTGGCATTTACGTTTTTTACAACAAATTGGTAATTCATATGTGTATAACCCTTTGACTGTGTGCTATAGAGAAGATTTTTTTATTATTTTTGTTAACTTGAATGAAAAATTAAAAAAAATTAATAAGTAATACTAAAGATCATTAAATGTTAAGATAAAAATGAATAATAATATATTACATTAAAACGATACATTTGTTTACTTCTTTTTATTTTTAATAATGGACAAATTTAAAAAATATAAAATAAATGATATATATAATTTTTTTCTTTTTTTTAAATTTTTTGTATTAATAATTATATTTAAAAAGAATAATAATATGCATTTGCTTCTTACAATATTTTAAGGTAATATTATTATATTGACCGTAGTTATTATTATATTACCAAAATAAATGGAAATTATATAATATTTAAGTGTGAAAATGAAAATAATCTTAGATTTTCATGAATATTCGTTTCAAAATTTAGACTTAATGATAAAAATAAAGACTCTATTAAAAGAAAATTTTGTAATTTACTGTTATTTAAAGGAGGCTCTAAAAAAAAAAAGAATTATATTAAAAAGAATTTCTTGATTTTAAATCAAAAATAGGAGATAAATTAAGAATATGAAAATGTATGATAAAGGACATTCAAAAAAAAAGAATTTTGTTTTTGATAATTTATATTATAATATATATTATAAATATTGTAATTCCTTTGCATGTAATAAATATTCCTGTTTCGACATAAGTTATTATAATGAGATTTGCATTCTATTAAATGATAGTTATAGAAAAATGTTTTTAGGTTTTTTACCTATAGCAAAAAAAAAAAAAAAAAAAGTAGAAAAAAATAAAGATAATAAAGTTATTCAAGAAATTCTTAATTTTAGAATTCTTAGGAATTTTAGAAAATTCAAAAAGAAAATTTTCATAAGAAAAAAGTAAAAATTGATGCAGATTTACTATTTTGATTTGTTAATTGTCTATTAAATGACTTTGCTATAGTATTGAACAAACAGGTTAGTAAATAGCATGCAGAGTAACTTCTACTAATTTAAGTATAAATTTTAATTCTATAAACAAGTATATTGTATTTATATAATTTAATTCATTGAGAATTTGTTGTTATCAAGAGGTATTTATTTACTTAATATTTTATTAACTGGGTGTTCGGTGACTTTGCTAGAGCATTGAACAAAAAAATTAATAAAGAACATGTAGAGTTGCCTTTACAATTGTTGATGTATTTATATATATTTTTAAATGCTTTAAACGAGTGATCCTTAATTACGTAATCTACTTCATTCAGCATTCTTTAATTTCAATAGGCATTTATTTACTTTAATAAAAATCTTTATTTTTATTAAAAATTTAAATCCTTATTGAACATTAATTATTAATTAATTGTAAATTACTAATTTATTTATTATGAGTTACATTCAGCAATTAATATATATTGCTCTAGAATTAACAAACATAAACAATTATTAACAAATATCAAAAATTATACAAATATTAATTACATAAAAATTTTATTGTTATATGTATAAAATTTTCTTTTACAAAATTCATCATAAAAACTATTTATTTCCTTCTCTCCAAAAAAATTCTCTTTTTTTTTTTTTTTATTTATTTATTAGTAACAAATATTTTAAAAAAAAATTGATTTTTTAATCAATTTTTTTCCTGACGATCTTTACCTTTTTTTTTTTTATCAAAATTTTTCCTGACAGTCTTTGTACTTTTTTTTTAAAAAAAGTAAAAAAAAAAAAAAATCGTCAATTTTTTTTTTGTGTGTGTGTGCATGACCAACTTCGTATTCTTCATTTAACTAGTCCTTTTATTTTCCAAAAAGGTTAATAAAGCCTTTTATTAACCAACATTATACTAGTATTTATTGGTCATTATTCATGGTAAATGTTAACTAGTGCTACTAAAAGGACACTTGCTATCGGTGATGTAATTTCTGTGATGAGAGACATTTGGATTCCTGTATTTTGATGTTCTACAAATATTCTTATGGATCATGGTTCTATCAATATGAGTTAATAATTTCATAAATTCGTCACAGATAAATTGCAAATAAAATTATACCGCACAAGTGTTCATTGCCTTCAAAGGAATAAAATTAATTAACGTTCTTAAAAAAGTGTTGATAATATACTTAAAACCATATATAAGAAAAAGATATTCACATTGAAGAAATATTGAAAAATGCAGTATTGATATATAATAATACATCTCATGGATCTTTAACCGAAACGTCATATTTTATTATGTTCATTATGGGATATATATGTCTTGATTCTTCATTATTATTACCCAGAAATACCTAAGAAATGAGAACGTTTTATTTAAGTGATAGATAAAAACAGGCGCACGAAGATTCAAATAGATTGAAATAAAAACCGTTTATAGAAATTAAGGATATTAATGTTGATAGAATTACTTCATATAAGTTATATAATTAAAAAAAAAAAATCAATTTAAGCATTATAGTGGTAATAATGGAAAACTTACTGGTCATTACCACATAGGGTGACTAATATTGGTAATGGGAAATTAAAAATAGTACCTATATTCTATTTATGAAAATAGATTCATATCCCATTTTTTAAAATTAGATTATTAATAAAAACAGGGAAATATATGAGAATCAATTAAGCAACTTGATACAAGTTATTGAAAAGAGTAAGAAAAATCCTGAACTTATACGTGAATTAGATCTTTAAAACTATTCTGATATTTATAAATGAGATATTACAATACCATATGAATTAAATAATAATGGAGACTATAAAATAGATTAAAATATACGAAAAAGTCTCAAGGTTGAAAAACAAGTCAGAAAAAATAAAATTAAATAATACCATTATTTTTCCTAAAGTGGATGAGTATGGTCTTTAAATAATATTATCAACATATTTCAATAATATTTAAATAAATAAAATGAGTAAAAACATTTTTATTTTTGCATGATAAAATGCCGAAAATATGTACACACATTAATGTGTACATTAAAAAAAGTACAAAAATGGTATGTAAATCAAAAAAAAATATCGCCTCTAAAAGTACACTAAAGAAAAGAAAAAAAATGTAGACATATTTTATTATATATTTTTTTTTTTTGCCTGTGACTTTGACTTATAATAAAAACATTTCTTATGATAATGATTTTGTTTTCTTAAAAAAAAAATTAATATAAAAAAAAATACAATTTTTTTTTTTTAAGGAAGAGAATATGAAATAGTTTTTTTGTGAATTATTACAAATGTAATACTAAGTGTGATAAGCATAGAGTATCGTGTAAATTAACTAGAATAGCAACTAATTTAATTAATATTTAATACCTATAAACGTACATAATTCGCCTATTATTTTATTTTAATTAAAACAAAAAAACTAGAGTTTTTCTCTACATGCTATATATTAAATTGTTTTTTCAATGCTAATAAAATTATTGAAATGGCAGTTAAGCACATAACTATTTATTTTCCATACAGCTATTAATTTTTTTATTATCAAAAAGGTTTATAATTCTTTTAATTGACGAATACTCTAGAAAAGTTGTTGAATGAACAATTAGTAAATAAATTCACAGTATTTTTTTATTATGTTTTTTTTCATTTTTTAATGAATGAGAGTTTTTCAATAAAGTTTTAAAATAATTTTTACAAAAATTATTGTCATGAAAGATTATATAGTATCTAATCAAATGTTGTAATGTAATAAATGTTTAATTTATAATAAAAATAAGTAAACATTTTACTAAACTTCTATTTTAGACGTTTTATAAATTAATCTGTTTTTTGTAGATAATAAATTAGGTAAGCATACTCTATTTAAAGAAATATAAATGTATTATGGATTAGGATATTAATTTCATGTAATGTAAGGTAATTCTATAAATATTGTATATTGCTGATTTATTAATTGGGTGCTCAAATACCTTAAGTAATGAATAAACAAATTAATATGGAAAGTGTTGAGGTATCTTTGCTAATTTTATTTGCCATAAAATTTACATTGATTTTGCAGTTGAGTAAACTTTACACTTACAATATATATAATTGTGGATATGTTGTTTTTACAAGCTTTTATATACTTTAATAAAAATTATCCTTGTTTCTATAAAAATATTAAGTCTTCATTTAAATTAATAATTATATGCAAAGTAATATTTACAAATAAGCTAACAAATTTTAGATAATGTTATTAACAATCTTTTAAAAACAAATAAAAATTAAACACAAATAAAAATAAAATTCTTTCGTTTTCCTTTCTCCGAATTTATTTTATTTCTTTTTTTTGGCTTAAAAATTAATTCGTGAGATCAAAATTTTCAAAACCATTTTATTATAGAAAAAAAATTAAAATTTAAAATTAAAAAATATATTTAAAAATAAAAGTTACAAAAATAATAACGAAAAAACTTCTTTTTTTCTATATAGTAATTTTGAAAGGCTAACTCTACATTTTACTTACAAGTTGCTATTATTTCATAAATAGTTAATTTTATTTTTTATTAACCAATTTGTTACAAAAAGTATTTTTGTAATAAATGTAATTAGTATAAATCTTTTATATACTCTTTATTAATTTATTAACTATACGAAAATATTTTAATTCATTTTTAATAAATAAATACGTTAATTTAATCATTTTACAGAATTCAAATATTTATTATGCCAGTGATCTTTTACTTCATATCTAAAGGCACCCCAAATATGAACTCCATACTGTATAAAATCGACGCACTTTTCGTACGTGCACCCACCGTCACGAAGAATAAAATGTAAGTCATTGATAAATTTTTTATCTGTATTTTTTACACCATTTCTAACATCTTCGATAAATTTAAACCATAATTCATCTCTTTTTTTTTCATCTAAAGAATGGCTTTTTTTACTTAATAAATCCTTCATCAATGTTTCAAGTAAGAGAACTAATTTCTTTTCTTCTTCTATACGATGATTTTTCCATAAATGTAACATCTCATCTGAAGTTACATTTTCTTTTGAATTTTTATAATTTTTGTCATAATTTTTATCTATATTTGATTCTGCTAATTTCCTTGAATTAACATTCTTGAATTGAAAATCTAAATTTATATTCATATAAAGTTTATATATATCCTATATCACCATTGAAAAAAATAAATCAAAATCATTTAAATTTTAATTTATGAAAGCAATTGTGAAGAATAAAAATATACATATTTAAAATTATAGATTTTTTTATACTTGTAGAAAGAAAAAAAAAAGAGATAGAAAAGATATAAGACAAAACCTGGAAAGCATATAATTTCTGAAGTTTATTTTTTTAAAAATTATATCTTGATATTTTGGTGAACATGTAGAAATTTTTAAAGTAACATTATTGCCTTTTTCGTATTTCCTTGTTAAAATATACGTTTGCATACTGCTATATTTCATATTTAACTATTATACTATTAAAATACAAAATAACTTCTCCTAATTTTAGGATAGTTATGGTTTAATTTTGAAAATGGCTTAAAACAATGAAATAATTTTAATAATAAACTAATATTACTACTCAAAAAAAAAAAAAAAATACATAATATTATTAAATTATGCGACAAAAAAAGTAATTATTGAGAGTGAAAGCTATATGAATAAGTATTTATTTTAATGTCAAACATTATGAGATATATAAAAGTTAAACTTAAAAAAAAATGAAATAAAACAAATGTATTAACGATTTTAATATTAAATAATAAGTTATTTTTATAATGTTGTACTTTAAGAAAAATTGAAATAATTTTAATTAATTTCTTATTTCTATATAAACAATTTTGTTTTTGTTTAACAATCACTAATTTTTATTTTTATTTTTATTTTTTATTTATTATATTGATTTTTATATAAAAATTAAAAACAAAATATTAACCTTTATCTATTTATAAAAATAAAAATAAAAAATATTACTAAAACATCAATAAAATTTTTTTTTTTTTTTTTAAATTTTTCAAAATTTTATATTAATGTAATTATTTAAAAAAATGCAGGAAAAAAATTTCTATTAAATAATCAATTCTTTTTAGAACAATTCATTAATTTTTTTTTTTCTTAATGGTATTTATGATCTGAAATAATTTTAAATTTAATTATATACAAATACATGATGTTCGTTAAAAAAGGTAACTTTACAAAAATATTAATATAATTAATAAATAGGTTTTTTATATTTATATTTATTTTCTTTTTTATATGAAGTAATTTCCAATTTATTGATTTTCTTAATATTCATTTAATAATGTACTCAATGAATTTCTAATGACAATATTTTTTTTTTTCAATTCATTCTTATCAATTTATTTAACAGTTTTACACTTTAAGTTAATTATATTTTTTGGAGATAATAGTATTCCTTTAACTGTATAATTTTTCATTAGGAATGATTATACTTGAATAGGTATTTTTTGTATTTATTTTTATCTATTTATAAAAATTTTTTTATAAATGACAATAGAGAAGAAAGTTAAAAATCTAGTTATTATGAAAAGCATGCAGATTAATTATATTCAAAAAAAAAAGAGGGAATGGTGATATACTTAATATTGAAGTAAAAAGGAATATTGAATGTTAAAATATCATGCAAGAAATAAAGCATTTATTATATCTGGAGAAACAAAAATTAGGACTGTGATTATTTTTTTTTATTATCTCTGCTCGTATAATTAATGATTATTTTTTAAAAGTGGAAAATGAATCTTCAGAAATTCTTCATAAAAACATTTAAATACTTTCTCTTTATGAAGTATATAGAATTTTACTAGATAGTTTAAATATATATGGATTAAATATAGATACTTATATTTTATTAGAAAGATTTTTGTATTTTTCCTTCAAAAAAAGAACAAAATAAAATTAAGACAATAAATAGATAGATCATAATATTCTATACTTTTTAATTTTGTGAAATTTTATGTTAAGCTTAAATTTTTCTTTGTTGCTTATGAAGTTTAGATGCTTCATTTTTATTCTGTTCTATATTTATTTATATTAATTTTTTTTTTTTTAATATATTTATTCTTCTTTTTACTAATGTTCTATCACTAGATATTTTTATAGGAATTTTTTGTATTAATCATTCATAAGGATAAACAAAAGAAAAGGGATTTTTTGATAGATTAGAAAAAAAAAATAAACTACAAAGTTAAACGTTTTTAATATAAAGAAAAAGGTAAAATTATTTAATATTATGTTTATAATTATGATGATTATAAAATAATTATTAAAATTATAATTAATATTAATAACTGCAATAAAAGAAAAACTCGATCACGCGAATAGCGATGGTACAGCTTATTCTTTGTAATTAAGATTTTGGTAATAATATTTATGTAAATTATCAAATTTAATATTAAAAATCATATAATTACTTTCATTTTAACATATAATAATTTTATCATTATTACTATCTAATTAATATTTTATAATAAATAATAATCTGAATGTGTATGTAAAGCAAATTATTATAATAGGATAAAATAATGAAGTTGTATTTTATCAAATAACACTTGAGCAAATTTAATTATAAACCAAAAAGAAAAAAATATAACCTTTTTGTAGTTAAATACTTTTATATGATGAAGATTTAATCTTAATAAAAAATATATGTCTTAAAATATTATATATAAATATATTATTTAACTCATTTTTTAGATAATGTAAGTTTTCCATTTTTAAATATATTATTAATCTATTGAAAGGTTGATTTAATAATTGCCAATTTGATGATTTTCTTATATTAATGAATAAAAAAATTAGTAAAAAGTAAGTAAATCTGTTTTTACTAGTTTAATTAATATAAATATAATTTTAATTATATAAACCAGTAAACAATTTTATATATATGGCCTTCTTCAATGAGCATATGTTGTTTTTAAAAGATATTTACTTCAATATAAATCCTATATTTTTATTAAAAACATAAAATCTCAATATTTATAGATTTTTTTTAATTATATTTTTATATATAATGTAATGAGTAATGTTTAGTTATTCAAGTATATCGCTTTTAAGTTAACAAAAATAATTAATTATTAAAACACATTTAAATTATATAAATATTATAAATATGAAAATTTTACTATTGTAATTATAAAACTTTATTTGAAAATATCAAATAAAATTCATTCTTAAAGAGATTGTTTTCTTCTATTATTTTCTAAAATCTCAAGAAAAAAAATTATATATAATTTTTTTTTTTTGCATACGTGTTTAACCTACAAAAAGAAAACAAAAAAATTAACTAAATACTTTTCTTTTTTTTTTTGTCCAACTTTTGTATGACTATACATCTTTCACACATCTGTTAATTTTTATTTTCAAAAAGACTGGTAATACCTTTAGCTACTACATAATAAAAAAAAAAAATAAATTTTATTTATTTTTTTTTCATTTATTTTTGTATGTCAATCAATTAAAAATTTTAAAATTTATTTTTTTTATATAAAAAAAAATTTTGTTCTTAAAGAAACAATTTCTTTAGAAAGTGAATTTTGAGATTTTTAGAGAAAATTTTATACCTTCAATAATAAAATTTTCGTATTTTGCAGTATATATATAATTTATTTTGTATTTTGTAAATTATTTATTTTTGTTATTTATGAACCATTAGATTGAATTACTAAAAATTATTTATAATATTGTAAGTAAAATATTTTTAATTAAAGATCAATAGTTAATGAAGGTTTAAATTTTTAATAAAAATAAAGGATTTTTACTAAAACAAATAAATTACTTTTAAAAAAGAAATAAATTTTTAATCAAGTAGACTACCTAAATAAAATTTATTGTTTTATGGCACTAAAATGGTACTTAAATTTATTAAACTAGGAGAGATAACTCTACATACTCTTCATTAATTTGTTTGTTAAATACTCTAAAAAAATATAACGGTAAATTGATAAATCAGAGTTTAAAAACTACATATATTACATATTGTTTACTATCATTCAATGAAAATTCGAAAAATTTATTCAGATTTTTCATTAAAAACTATATGATATCATCAAAATTGGGAAATACTTTCTTCATATGTAGTTGTTTAATAAAAATTATGTGAAACTTTTTATGTGCAAAAATATAAGGCAAAAAATAAAAACTATACTAATTTGTTAGAACTAAAATTCATCAATATTAAAATTCTTTAGGTTCTCGAATCTTTCTAATTAAACATATATGCTCCTTATACATCTAAATTTTTTTCTTTCAAAAAAAAAAGAAATTGAGAAGAACTTTTTTATTTTTTGTAGAAATAATTTTTGTTCGAAAATAAGAAAAAATATAAAATTAAATATGTATATTTTTTTGAAACAAATATTTTAATACGAAAGAAAAATGTGAATGATGTTATTCATGGAGAATTCTGAGATAAAGAATAAAAGTATCATAATAAAATATTTTTATAAAGGTATTATATTTACATAAAATATTTATTATAAGGTTGTTATAATTATGAATAAAAGCTCACGTTTTTTAAATAATAAAAAATTTAAATTATTTTAGTTATGAATTCAGAATAAAAAATATAACCGCTTTAAAAAGCATAATAGAGGTTATTCAACATTCTCTTTATCATATTTTTTGTTTAAAATTTTATTTATTAGTTTCTCGATCAATTACTTCAGTAGTGTTGGACAAACAAATTAATAAAGAGCTCATAGAGAAAACTGTACTTATTTTATTTTAAATAAAATAATATATTAAGCAAATCATGTACATTTGCTAATTAATATCAAATATTAATTACATTAGTTAATTACTATTTTAGTTAATTTATACATTGCTTTACGTGTATCATATTTAGCATTAAGTTTTTCATATTGCATAAAAAAAAAAATACCCAATACTGTCATTCCTCCTTGATTTATTAATTGTCTATTCAATGTCTTTGCTAGTTTATTGAACAAACATTTTAATAAAGAGCATATAAAGTTGTTTCTACTAATTCAAAGAATTTAAATTGAGTTTTAATGCTTTAAACTAGTAAACTGTATTTATATAATTTACTTCATTGAACATTTACTGTTTTTAAAAGTCATTTATTTAATTTAATAAAAATCCAATATTTTTATTAAAAATTTAAATCCTCATTAATTATTGGTTTTAATTATATATTGGTAAATAAAAGTCTTCATTAACCTTTTTGGTAATAAAAAGGACTAGCTATATGAAGACTACGTAGTTGGTCATGAACAAGCGAAAAAAAAAAAAAAAAAAAAAAAATTATTGAATTTTTTTTTATTTTTTTCTTTTAATAAATGGATATACGTAAAGAAAAATATATTTATTTTTTTTAAAATGATTTAATTGAGGAGAGAAACTTGGTAAAATAAGAATCGAGAATAAGATTTAGTACAAATAAAAATGAGATCTTAAACATATATAAATATTTACATAAAAGA